CTTCATAGTCATGTTTCAACACTGGATGTTCTGTAGCAGGTAAGAGCAGCCTTCAAATTTATTGCATTACCTTCTTTAGGGATTTTACTAACTTGGTCCCTAGTTACAATTTGTAAGTTACTGTTTGATTTAAGAAATTCGTACATCTTGTTCAGGATGTAGACTTTGACTTCACTTGTACATATGGTGCAAAACTAGGAACTTCAAAATTAGGCGGAGCTGTAATTGTGTTAGATTAAAGAGATATTGTTTGGGATAGGGCATAAGAGATTGTCTTTGGGACAAGAAAACCAGTAGAAGAGAAAGACTGAAGATGTAAAGAGCAATATCTTAGTGATAAGGCAGGTAGATAAGGAGCCATGGTGTCAGCCCTCAAACTACGTAACAGGAACTTGGCTGGTGCTGGTAATGCTCTGTTCTTCCCTGTGTCTCTTTGCTGGCCTTAGCCAGGGCTCGGAGTGCCCTGCATGATGGCCAAAGTGATAAAGCTGTGAGCTATCTCAGCTAGTTCTAGCTCGCTCTCTCAGAGGAAAGCTGCAGCCCATGCAGAGTCTTCTCATGTTGGTCAGGGAGAGCTAAGCCTTAGTTTACAATCTTTCTGATTTTTCACACATCTGAACTTCATCTCCTCACACACATTTACCCCTGGCTACAGTTTATGGCCATTTCTTTGCCATCCTATATTCCCCATGGCAGACGCCCTCACAGAGGTGGATCCTGCTGGTGCACGTTTGTAAAGCTGTGATATTTTATAACTGCTTCTAGCCTGGTATACTGTGGTTAAGAGAGCCCAGGAAAAGAGGATTAATATTTTGTCAGATGATTTTTAGAAGCTCTGGGTCTGATGACTTTTCAGAGGGAAGACATGTGTTTGTTTTAGCTGAGGATAAAGGATACTGTAACATCCCCACTGGTGGGCAAAGTCTAGTGGAAATAAAAAACATTTAATGGAAAAACATTGTTTAACAGAAGTGGTAAACCTTTGGAGTTTGGACAAAGCTTTTACGTAGGTGTAATACTGCCAATGAAGGGTTAAGAACAAGAAAATATGCCAAAGCAGAGTCAGAGATACAAGAGCACATAATCCATTCAGATTGCAGACGGAGTAACTCCAGCCATGCCTAGAAGGTAACTGGACAAACTATGTTTTTTCCATTAGCTCAGCTCGCACAATTATGCTGGTACAGAATTACAAATCTCTGCGCAGTTCTGGCCACAGAAGCTATTTCTTCATGCTCAGACCTGTTTGCTGGAGGTGAAACTGAGCTGGGTCATTGGAGCTGCAGAGAAACTCATAATGAAACTAAATCACATGAGGTTGTGCTTTGCAGGGGGTGGATGGCTGGATTAGGCAGCACACTAAGTAGTCCCCCGGGATATTTTTCAACTGCAAGCTCAGTGATCAAATATGGAACAGATTAACAGGAGGAGGGGTTGTATATTTCTTGTAAATCACAATCTTCTTTTATTCACGACTATCTGCAGCGCAATTTTTTTGAAGCACTGGTTTTTATGGTTTAGTGCTGTAATACCCATGGCATATCAAGCTGCCAGTATAATTTTTTGATGAATTTATTTTCATCAATACTGTTTAAACTGAGTGCAGTAAGTGCAGGGATTAAAAGAAGTTGTGTTTAAAAGGTCTTTATTTCTAACCGTCTGGCTTATCTGTAAACACAGCTTTTAAAAATAGGATCTTAATGTTAGCTCCAGAAATCCATATATATGTGTGGTCTGATTTAATTGTATAGCTACTCCCTCTGATTGCACGAGATCAAGAGATGTTCAGATTTATGATTCTGATGAGAACAACTGCTTTAAAGCTGAGCTTGTACAATCTTTTCTCCTATGTCTTCTGAATATTGAAAAAGAAACAATATTTTTTATCCTTTTTATTAAACCTTAACTACACATGAAAGCATGAGCCTATGCCCCTTACAGTGAGTACTCTCCTCAGTGCATTTGTTGTAAAATCAAATTCCTGAATACTGATATCTGAACCCAGTGTACCGGGGAAGTTACCACTTTTGTTTTCATTACTTTGATGTTTTGCATGATCAAAATAGGACCTTGGTGCCTGAAACATCTTACTTGCAGCTATACCTGTGTAAGTGCAGCCCTGCCCTGATCTGAGCAATTTGTGCCTTGCTGCTGCCTGAAGCCAAGTCCAAAAAGCAGATCCAACATCTCTGATCACAGCTCACTGCAGGGAGAGGCTCTTTGATATTTTTACAAGGGCATGTAGTAATAGGGCAAGGAGAAATGGCTTCAGACTGAAAGAGGGCAGGTGCAGATTGGATATTAGGAAGGAATTTCTCACTAGATGAGTTTTAAAGTCCCTTCTGGCCTAGCTTCAGACTGAAAGAGGGCAGGTGCAGATTGGATATTAGGAAGGAATTTCTAGACGAGTTTTAGAGTCCCTTCTGGCCTAACCATTCTATGATTCTGTAAAAAAGCAGTGATGGCCACAGCCTGTAAAAGAGTGGTGGTGGCACTGCACAGATCACCTTTTAGGGATCCTAAAAAACTCCTTATACATACACATTTCAAAACTATGTGGGTTTGGGTAGAAATCCATTCCCAAGGCCCTTCAGGAGTGCCACTGGCTTCCACTTCCATCACTGTGTATCCCTCTGCCCCAGGTCACTGCTCCTGCTTGAACTGAGGTAGTTAATTCTGAGGAAGCATTACCTAAAGCAATCCCACTGCTCCCCATGACACCTAGGGACAGCAGCATCTGTTTTGCTAAATAGCCTGAATGTGTTTATACAGAGTGAGAGTTGCCTAAGATTTATTTTAATTGAGTATGACTCAAAAATGAGTAGCTGTATGACCAAGAATGTTGTGGTGTTAAACTGATGTAAAGATTGACCAAAATATTTTTAGAGTGCAATGAATATATTGGGAAATGCTAAATCTTGCCAGTTCCTGCAAACCATGCTGAAGTGAGACTAAGTAGGGAAGCTTCTGCTTGTCCCCAAATACAGGTATATATTAACTCTGTAAATGTGGAGAAATCATTTAACTTATAATGTAGACATGTCTTTATTCAGCAGAGCACTTGTAACAGTAAATTTAAACCCCTCTGTTGTAGAATAGATTCTTTTTCATGGTGTAACAAATAAATAAAAGTGATAAGCTAAAATCAAAGGAGAAAAAAAAAGGAAAATTATAAAGTGAGATGGGGCTAAAATGTTGTCAGTGGCATGGCAGGCTGCACATTATCTTCTAAAGCAAGTGAGATGCATCTTTTTTCACATGGAATTCAAGCAAGTATTAGGGAGCACGGTGCTGGGAACAGCCTGCTATGAGGTAGAGATCTGTGTGTTTGCTAGTTTGTTTCTTCTTCTCTGATACTTTTTTGCTCCTTTTGTTCAGATATTTTGTGTTTAGGTATTGCAGAACATATGTATATTTTAATTTCCTTGCATTCGCTACTTGTAGTACTCTAACTGGATTTGTATCTAATTCTTTGAAATTTTAATATTCCTCAAACACTTGAAATCTCTCTGCTTCTGTGTTCTCTGTTCATTATCAGGCGCTCTGTTCTGTCTTTCCAACAGAAGTCCTGTTTCATTTCTGACAGGACCTGTGCAATAGCTCCTCAAAGCTTTGATTTTATTCTCCTTTTCAATGTTCCCTCTCTTGAAAGACTGATGTTGAAGGAAGGGGCTGGAGGGAACAGGGAGAATGATTGGGGAGATTTCACAATGGAGTTTGGGGTTTTTTGGGGAGGTGGGCTGAGATTTATTTCAGCACAAGAAATGTGCTTTCCCAGCATGCTCAACACCACACTTTTTATGGAAGAGATGCAGGCTGTGTGTGCAACTGTGCTGAGGGAGTGGTGCACGACAGACAGCCATGACCACACTCCTGGACCTGGCTAGGACTGTGAGCACCTTTTAAAACTCCTTCTCTTTGAAATAAACCTGCAGCATGACCCATGGTCAGAGAGGGCCTCAAAGACACCCAGAGAAGATGCTCTCCAGAGAGCTCAGGCATTAAGTGTGAGCAAGTTGCACACAGTGCTCAGCATACACATAGATCTCTTAAAGATTTATAACTTGAGAAAATTTGTATCGAATTTGGTAGCAATGAATGAATGTATTCATTTGACAAAGACCATTCTTCTCTGGTCCCCAAAATCTGGTCTGTTGCTCCAGGGTATGTAAGCCTGAGATGTATTTATGGAAAGGACAGATAATTTTAGTTAACATTTGTATAGAAAGGAACACATTCTTTGTTTTAATCTCAAAAATGTTCAGTGCAATTTGCTGCAAACTAAAAATAGATTAAAAATTCCTAACTCTTTTCAGCACAAAAATGTCAGTGCAAATATAAGTTTGTCAGAGCAATAAATAGCAAAAATCAAGATCTTATAAAGGAAAATTTGCTAACCTGAGAGTCACACTGCTTTAAACTTTCCCTGTAACCTAATAAATAATCACTCTGAGGGCCCATCACTTCACCTGCAGCATTCACTGCCATATCCCAAGGCAAAGGTGATAAATTCTGTTGTCACCCCTCCACCTCCAGCCCAACTAGCACAATATTTTGATGTCATGCATGCTGTGTATTGACAGCCACTATTTTATACCCATTCAAGTAAGAAGCTTTCAAAATACTTTAAATCACAGCTAAAATACACAATTTTAAAATAAATTTGTTTATAATAAATTTATTTAATACATTTAATTTAATAAAAGCCACTCCAATACATTAAAAATCCAAAGGCCCTGCTGTTGTTATCCGGATGCACAAATTTAAAACTATATGCACTCTAGCAAAGGTGGCCCAAGCTTGGATGTGTTTGGAAGTGCTAGTCAGTAGAGGCTGGCTTAAGGCATGGGATTGGAAATCGGGGTGCTCTGCTTTTGGGGTACTCTGTAGTTAAGTTCCTAAAAGCAGAAAAAGCACTCCAGATAGCAGATCCTGGTGAAGGGTCTTTGCTTTGCAAAGTGAAGAATGTAATCTTATCCATTACTGAATAGCTCTATTAAATGATGAGAAAAAGCTCAGCACCACCTTGTTATCTGCACATGACCTCTCCTGAGGCATGTGTGGCACAAAATAAATTAGGAAAAAAGAAGGACAGATTAAACAAGGGCCCGGGAGTTCTGCATTTGAAAGCAGAACTTCAGGACAGGGACACTTTCCAAAGAACCATTTCAGGCAAAGGTCACATGTACGCATATAAAATCATTCCTGAAAGCAGCGCCTTTGTCCCGCAGCGATCTCCCAAAGGAGCCATTGTCCTGCCGGGCAGCTGGCACCCTGACTTCAGCCGCGCCGCCGCGGGGCCGGGGCAGCCCGCGACCTCCCGGGACATCCCGGCCCTGCGCATCCGCCCGAGCCGCTCCAGCGCCAGCGCAGCTTCCACGCCGAGCTTCAGACATGGGGAAAACAGACCCGCTGGTACGGTAGGAGCATCTGCGCTCCCCTTCTGCCCTGCTTGCCAAAGTAGCCTTAAATAAATATCATTACAAGCAAAGTCAGCTAATGGAGTAGCATGAATGTGGTTTTGCAGAATGCAACTCAGATTGGGATTTGGCAAGGAGGAAGTCCTTCCAAAATGCATTCAGGGGTGATGTTGAAAGTCCCTTGATTCATAATAAAAGAGAAAATATTATTTAATGCACAGAGAAGAAAATGTATTTTAGAAACCATTGTAGTTCTTGTACAGCTTGTTTTGCCTCCTGAAGAGATCTCCTCTCTTAACCTATTTAATATAAACTGCTTTTCATATATATTCTTACCTTACAGCAACATCAAAATTGGCATCCAGCAGAGACATGAGCAAAGTATCCTGTGTTTTGTTTATATTTACCTCCTACAGTACTAATATTATGCAAGTACATAAATATGAGTTTAGACCTCCTACATCACTTGCCTTTTGATTTATATTAAAATTTCCAGAGTCTGGAGCTTCACAGGTAAAGTTCTGGGCTTGAAGGCAATCTGTGTCAATAAAGTTCCTGTTACAGGTACCTCTCCCTAAGCCTTTTTCTCCAGGGGAACTATACGGATCTCTTTAATCAGGGTAGTAGCACTTCAAGTATCTGTATTTTTCCCCATAACTCTCTATGCCACAACTGTAAAGTGCTGATTAGAGAGACAAGTTGTATAAGGAGCAATGAAACACTGCATGCCTCATAGTTTCTCTACTCATAATGGACTCATGATGATTTTGCTTATTCTGATCTTGAAGATTAGTCTTGAGTCCTTGTTTCAAGTTTCTTTTGTTTCTGATTTGCTTAGATTTTGATTGTGATTTGTTTCTAATTTCTGTTGATCTATGCAAGCTTCCTGTCAGCATGTGTCAGTGCTGTGCACACTGTTCCTTATTGCCACCGCATCTGTGATGGAAACTCTGAGCTCTGCAAATGGAATTGGGACACTGACTTGTCCATGAAAAACAAAACAGGGAATTAGGGCATTTCAGGGTGAGGTTTACACGAGTGCTCCAGCGCTCCCCACTGGACCTGTGGAGAGGTGGGCAGGGGCTGCCAGGGAGCCGTGGCTGTGCCTGGTGGATGGGGAGAGATACTGGGGGGTTGCCTGTACCTAAAAAAAGCAAAGGTGACTGTGGCCCTAAGACTGGCTGCCCACAGAGGATCTGCTGTACCTGTTCAGGGTCAGATAGAGACATTTGTAGATGAAGAGCTTCTCATGAAGTGCAAGGCTGGGGAAATGTTTCCTCCTTGGAGGCTGGCGTGTCTAAGATGTTAAGAAAACAAAATAGTGCTCCATTTGTGTAGTAATATTTATTCTACAAAATCTTAGCTTATTTCAGAGGTTGTAATACGAAGGTTAAACTATAAGTTTAATGTCACTGCAGCAAGGAGGTTTCCAATTATTCATCAAAGATGCCAGCTGAGTTTGAATGCCAGACAGCTGAAGATATGTTAGCATCATTCTTGAAAGCTGGAGCTGTTCATAGCAGTGCCTGCACTGCAGCCTTTACCAAAGGATGCCAAATGGATCCTTTGACATTAGCTGAACTGGAAGTGGAGGTAATGAATATTTTTGTGAGAGATGGATGAAGTGGTGCATGAGACTGCTCCTGGCAGTGCTGAGGCTAGCAGCAGCTTGTCCAAATGCCCATGTGCTATTGGAAGTGCTCATTTATGGCACTTCCCCAGATTAATGGAGCACTTATGGAAACACATCAAACCTCATATTACTGACACACCAGCAACACAAACTGATTTCCAGGTGCTTACAAATCTGACAGCATGCCTGACCCATGCCACACCTTGCTGGAGGAGGGGTTTTGAGCCCCCCAGCACAGGTCTCCCCATGCCACCCACACAGCCCAGCTGGGATCCACCCTCCCCTGTGCTCATCACCGGGTGAGATGACAACTGTGTTTGTAGGGAGCCAGACCAAATGACCTCACAGGCTTTCTTTGTCTCAAAACCCAGGAAACTCTGTGTGCTTCACACAGTTAGAATAAAAGAGAACATGGTCACTGTTGCTTTGTTACACAGAAAAACCCCCCCAAAAATATAGAAATAAATACATATTGGCTCTCTCACTTTTGGGGAACTATTTTCCTATTGTGTACAGTTATTTAAATTCCATGAGATTCATGATAAATGGTCTTTTGTCCTAGGAGGCTTCATGTTTCAAAACACTGATGTAATTTATTGTTTAGAAGTTCTAGTTGATAGTGCTGAATGTGAAAAATTGGATAAGAGATTAAAAATACAATATAATAGCAGGTATGCTCAGCTCCTGTCGTCTTGCCCTAAGCCAGACAGAACTGTTCTCCTATTGCAGCTGGATTCCATCCATGGCTGGGAGACTGTGTCCTCAGATACCTGTTCTTCTAATCCAGTTCTTAGCCAGAAGTTTTCTTTTCATTTCTTTGTGGGGCTTTATGCCCTCCTTCCATGCGGATTTTCTTGTGAAGTAACTCAGAAGTCTAGTCCCAAAGTTTTCCCCTTTGTTTATCTAACTTCATATTTTCTTGTAGAGTTTTTTACTAGGAAGCTGTGTTGAGTTGGCTTTGTCTGACCTTCAGATGCCCTCTCTCATTTCCTCTCCTCAAAAGGGCAGGGGGAGAAAATAGGATGGAAAATCTCATGGACTGAGATAAAGACGGGGAGATCACTTACCCAATTAGTGTAATAGGCAAAACAGACTCAACTTCATAAAAATGAATTCAATTTGTTGCCATCTAAAATAGATTTAGCTAGTGGGACAGAAATTTAAAAATTGAAACAGCACCTTCCTTTCCCCTTTTCCCAGTCCTTCATTCCTGGTTCCCCCACCTCTCCCCACCATCCCAGGCAGCACGGAGGGGATGACCGGTCCATAAGAGCCCTCTCTGTTGCTCCCTCCTGCTCACACACCTCCCTGCCCCGCTCTGGGGCCTTTCCGTGGGCCAGGCTCTTTCAGGACAAACCAGCTTCTCTAAGGTATTTTCTGCAAGGGAATCCCTGCTCTGGTGCCTGGAGCCCCTCCTCCCCTCCTTCCTCGGAGACCTTGGTGCCTGCAGAGCTGTTTCTCTTACTTTCCCCCTCACTCACCACAACCTGCACAGCGCTTTTACCCTCTTCTGTTTCGTTCTACCCGAGTGCCGCCATCTTGGCCTCGTGAGGGCCTGAGCCCGGCCTGTGGTGGAACAGGCTGGGTCTGGTCCATGGCAGCCCCAGCCTCTCCACATAATGCACGTGTTTCTGCATTTTCACCCTCTGTTCTTCTGTTTCCATGTATTTTTTGGTTAGTTAAAGATTTTAACCTGAAAGCACTCTAGTTTTGAAGGCCGCTCTGGCTTTGCTGTTACATGGCTCTTCACCAGTTTTATCTTCCTTTTTTTATTTTAAAGAATTCTTGGAAACCCATCGTTGTTCATAACCTAATTTTTTTTTTTTTCTTCCCATGTCATCTGATGTAGAAACCTGCAGAAACACCACTCTTGGGACATGGCCAGGGCTGTTCCTGAAGTCCTCCCTCCCGCAGCACCCACCTCTCATCCCCCTCACTGAAATGTCACATTTTATTCCCTTCACAGATTTCTGTTTCCTGCTGTAAATGGCATCTTCATCTGAGGTCCTGCCTCTCATACCTGTGGTGCTCAAAGAACTTGGGATATATGGATTGTCCTGGGTAATAATGCTTTGTTTCATGCAGGCTTCTTGATCTACACCAAGTTTCAAGCTTCTGGCTCTACATTGGCACATGTGGCAGTGGCTGCCGGGACATGGCAGGATGAGCTGCTGAGGCTGCCAGGCTACACATGCACTCAGCCAGCACCAGCCCACTAGTTCCCAGACACATCCATCCAGGGAATCACTCCAGGTTTTATAGAGAGCCCTGTGCAAACCTGGGACAGGATTGGAACACCTCCCTCAGCTGTTTTGCAAACAGCATCACAAAGCAGAGGGGAGGAATACAGGCCAGGGACACCTCATTCCACACCCTGAATTTTCAATTAGTTGACTACAGCATCTGGGCTCTGCAGAATTGCCCCAGACAGCCTAATTTAGTCCTTGAGCCAGGAGATATGGTGCAGCAGGATGTACCAGCACTCATGACAAATAGCAATAAAAAGGGCAAAGACACTGAAGTGAATTCCAAGGTAGGAGTTACTACCCACAGGACATTTGTGGATTTGAGCCTATTGCTGTGTATCTCGCCCTGCTGAAAAATATTTTATGTAGCATTAGCTGTATGTTCCTGTGCTGTTGATGCATGTGACAGCTTGAAAACCTTTTCTGGCCAGTGACAGGACGAAGGGGGAATGGGACAAGGGTTTTTAGAGTTGCGACAGGATGGTGGTGAGGAACCTGTGTTGTGGCAGCAGCAAAGGGGGACCAACCTTGCACCCAATTCAATGCCGGAGCTACCAAAGGGGACAGGGGAACTGTGATTGCAGCTGCAAGGACTGTAACAAATCAGCGCCCCTCCAGCTGCACCAGCCCATGGTTTGGTGTGTCAGCATTGGCCTCAGATGTGAGTGGGATGGTGGGAACTGGCACTCATCTGTATTAGGACCGGTGAAGGATGGTCAGTGCAATACTTAAAGACTTCACAGGCTGTATAAACAGAAAATATGGCTTGGTTCAGCCATCTTTGGAGAAAGAAGAGTATGAGTTTGTGGTTGCAATCTGGTACCTGCACCAGGTGACACTAGAAGAGATGAACAGCTTCCTCAGTCATTTCAGGCATTCCTCAAAGGCTCTTTGCACACCCACAATTATTTTTGGCAGGGACAACCATAAACATCCATAAACATGAACATGAACATAAACATGTCCATAAACTGGATATCCAGTGGATGAAAATATGGTCATTATGAGGGTGGGAGAAAATGTACTGATGAAACAATATTTTGTAAATAATTAAGTTGCCACCATCCATAAATGCCTGTTTTTATTTCTTTCCATGCTGAGGCTGAGCAGCTAAAATGGCA